TTTGTCAGAAGATATAAGATAAAAGCATGGTAGTGGTTATATCATGCTGTGAGGTTGCCTTTCTTTAGCTGAGACAGGGATGCGGGTGGTAATGTGACAAATTAATATATATATATATACTTTTTAAGGCACACCAACTGTTTTCCTTCAATCAGAACTAGAAAAGTTTTCATTATATAACAAAAGTCTGAGGTAATATATTTATATAGCCACATTAACTGTTTGTCAAATTGTTACCTTGTTAAATACAAAGGATATTCATGCTGAAAGGATTTGGAGTCAAACATCCATTAAAATCAAAACTAGGGTTTCTTCCATAGAAACCCTGATTGCCAAACCTAGTTCACAAACTGACCAATGAGGGAGCTGGTTACGTCTGAGAAGCAACTGTGATTGGCTTGATTGGTTTTCAGTCTGCTCGGTTAGAGAAAAGGTAAATGGAGAGGGCCAAAAAAAAGGATTTGAAATGCATGGTGAAATAAAATGGAAATGGAATAATGAATTACCTTTTTAAATGGGTGATTAGATGAGGTATTTAAAATCAAATATATGAATTTAGAAATATGATTTGAAAATACATTTCTAAATTCCAGTATTTAGTAATTCATTCATACATTTTAAATTACAATTACTCTTTAAAATCTATTTCAAATGTGCAATTGAATTGCATGATTTAAATTCCTTTGAAATGGCTGTTTTTTCCTTTTCAGCCACACTCTAGGTCCTTCATATGTAAAGCACCATAAATGCACAGGGTAATGGGAATGCTTTACAGAAATGCTTTACAGAAGGCAAATAATATCCGTTAAAAACATAAGACATAAAAAATCTAAAACACTCAAACTGAAAACAATGTCACAAATTATGCTTCATAGTTTCCCTCTTCAAATAGACACAAACACTGAGGGTTGCTTAAGATGTGAATGCAACAGAGGGTGAAATGAAGTCTTGCAACAACTTTACATAGGTTTATTTTCTTGTGTGCCAGCTATTTATTCCCAATTATCACATATTTTCACAATGGAAATGGTACAGTATCCTATGTTATTCCTTATTTAGTGGCCAAGTGTGAGTTCTTCAACGCAGGAGGCAGCATTAAGGACAGAATCGCTCTGCGGATGGTGGAGGACGCTGAGAGAGAAGGGATCCTCAAACCAGGGGACACAATCATTGAGCCCACTTCTGGAAACACGGGTACTTACTTCTAGATAGCTCAGATATCTAACTGTGGTTCTGTTACTTACTTTATAATAAAACAACACCAGCACTTATAAACCAGCTCTTCTGAACACCTCTAGGAATCGGCCTTGCTCTCCTAGCAGCTGTGAAAGGCTACCGCTGCATTATTGCAATGCCTGAGAAGATGAGTATGGAGAAGGTAAGTGTTTTCTGCATTAGTTTGTTCCACAGCAGTGGTTTAGTACATGCAGCTGATCTGCCCTTGTTTTTTTATACTATAGGTGGATGTGCTAAAGGCTCTCGGAGCAGAAATTGTTCGGACTCCTACATCTGCAGCGTTTGATTCAGCGGAGTCTCACATTCGCACAGCTTGGAGGTTAAGGAGTGAGATTCCAAACTCGCACATCCTGGACCAGTACCGTAACGCCAGTAACCCCCTGGCTCACTATGATACAACGGCTGAAGAAATCCTGGAGCAGTGTGATGGTTTGTTCAGTTTTTTTTTTAATTATCTTTCATTTTATTACTCTATGAACCAAAATGTCTGCTTCTTTCAAGTTCTCTAAACTTGCCCAGTCAGCGCAATAATCTTAAAAAACTTGAAGACCCAGGCCTGTAATCCTGCTTGTTTTATATTCAAGCATTTTCAGTTAAAACCTATTCAGTGTCTAACAAAAATTGTCATAACATGTGTCTCGATTGCCTTAACCTCCCACCCCATGAGTCCCTTACGAAAGGGCAATATAAGAAAGGCTGTTAAAGAATGACCATGATGGTGATGTCACCTTGTAAGGTCAAGTTATCAAGTTAGGACACCAGCAGTAAACAGTCTGGGTGGAAAGGAAACAAAAAACAAAACCCTGCACTGCTAAAAACCATCTAGAAATAAGTACAACATTTCTTAAGTATATTTACCCTTAATTTTAGTAGGTAAATAAGATTATTTGCTAAGGGAATGAGTATTTCAACTCCTAGAATAAGATGATTAGATAATATTCACTTGAAATAAGACAAAGCAATTGTTTTTTTTTTGTTTTTTTTAATTTAATTTGTCTTGTTCCATTGGCAAGGTGTCTCACTTATCTCCTCAGTTCCTCAAAATTAACTTAATTTAAGCAAAAATGACTCATATAGATTTCCATTTTTTTGCAGTCTGAGCATAATTTTAAGCCAGACAAACTCAAAGCAGGTGTAAGCAAAGGTTCTTCAAAGAACAAACAATTCGGCTGAGAATTAACCTTTCACTTTAAAATGACCTTATAACAGCAGAGGGTATTACAAGCAGGTGTGATACCTGCTGCAGAAGCCACGCCCACCAGGGATGACCCCCTCTGCATTTTAACACACAATTGTGTTTTGGTTTTGGATTGATGTCATTCTTAAAGCTCCACCGCAGTCTCAAATCTTTTACAGCCTCTTACAGGTTTTCTCTCATTCGTTCATCTCATCAGTTCTGTCCAGGTTCCTGTTCCCACATCATCCCCGCAGCATTATGCTGCAACCACCGTGTTTAATCATAAAGACAGTGTTTCAGTTTTTTTTTTGTTTTTTTTTTAATCAAGACCCAAAACTGAGCATCTTTTTCATATTTGCTATCCCAGCTAAAATTAAACATGGTGAATAGATTGCTTTCAACACTGGGTTTTTTAGATTGGTGGATTGTTTGAAGCAATAATAAAATCTAGCCTATCTCAGGACATTTTATGTTAATGTTTTAGTGTGTGTGATTAAAAAATGGAAAAAGTTCATTAGAAAAACCTCCAACTTTTTCACATAAAACTTGGAATACATCATATAACCCCCAAAAACGATGAAAAAAAAGAATAACAACTAAAGTTAAAAATATAATCTTTGGCCTACATGTTATGATTGAATTTATTTAACTTTCATATTTTCCAGTAAATGCAATGTCAAAGATAAGAAATTTACCTTATTTAAGTTTAAAAGTGTACAACTCTTTTTAATGGCTGTATGATGCTTTAAGCTTATGCTAACCAGTGAGATTTTAAACATACCATAAAACTTACACAAGATAAAATCCAGACACATTTAAATAAACCACAAAGCATGCAGTTTTATTTATCTAAAAAAGAGCACAAATGTTACACATATAAAGCATAAAAAAATGCCAAGAACAAATGTAACAAAAATCCTACATGTTGTTTCTTTAACTATATATTTCTGCCCTTAGTTTGAAATGATCATGGACATTTAGAGAGAACTGTCCTTTTCCTTTCAGGTAAACTGGACATGCTTGTGGCCGGAGCCGGCACAGGTGGTACGCTCACTGGTATCGCTCGAAAACTAAAGGAGAAGTGCCCCAATGTCAAGGCAAGATATTCAAACCCAAAAAACCCACTCATGAAAGTGTTCACCCAGGAAAATGCTTTAATTTTATTCACCATAACAGCTAATAAAAGATGATTTATCATCAACCTACACTGCTTAGGTGAAAAAATAATCATGCATGTAATTTACATCCATTTAAAGATGGACACGTTTAAAATAGCTTCCTTCCATGTTAATATAACTGTTTGTTTTTTTATTGTTGGCAGATAATCGGTGTGGATCCTGAGGGCTCTTCGCTGGTACAGACTGAAGAACATGAAAGTGCTCATTTTGAGGTTGAGGGTATTGGATATGACTTTATACCCACTGTTCTGGATAGATCTGTGAGTGTTAGAGTGAACGCGGACATTTAAAGTTAAGGGTTTCTTAGTTTGCTATAACTTTACTCTTTCTCTCTATAAAACCCTTCAGCTCGTATACAAGTGGTACAAATCAAGTGATAAGGAAACGTTTAACATGGCACGCAAACTAATAAGAGAGGAAGGCCTTCTCTGTGGTGAGCTCATACCACCAACCAACATATTCATATTTATGTGTTTTTTAAATGCCATCTAAGTTGATTTCGAATAATTATCTTGTCGCTCTTTTGTTTTTAATCCAGGTGGAAGTTCTGGCTCAGCGATGGCGGCGGCAGTGAAGATGGCTCAGCAGCTGGAGGAGGGACAGCGCTGCGTGGTCATCCTGCCAGACTCTGTTCGTAACTACATGTAAGAGAAAACAAGCAGAGATTCTGCAATAAGGCTGTTAGAGTCTGTTATTCACTCCTGCATCTACACTTTTAGACCAGAGATAATGTGCATAATAATCCAAATGAGGATCATAAAGGTTTTACCCCCCTTAGAGGGGCTTTCATGCCAAGAATATAATACCTATAGTTTGTACAGTGTGCAGTCGAACAAAAACAAAGGTAATGCATTTTTCTTCTTTTTAAAAAGGAAAGTAATAAGAACAGAAAATATTTTTGACCCAAAATGCCTTTAAAGTTTTTCTTCATTCTTACTATTATTGTACAGTAGTTTTCTAAATGACAGGGGCAGTTTAACATGCCACTGTTGGTTTCAACCTTTGCCACTAAATGTCACTAAAGTAGTTATTAAAAGCTTTAAGTCATAAAAGTTCAATATTTGGCTGTTTAGCAATATTCTGGGTAACTATTGAAATAATTCATCCCATTGTTTTGTATGATTTAGCAATATAACTTAAATCAAATCTAAGTTTATTTAGTAGTGATACTGTCGTCATTTTATTAAATTAAAAGCACGCATCCAAACATATAAATAGATTAGAAATCTAGACTGTGGTATAAACTAAAGTTAGTAATATTGGGGAAAAAATGATTTAACATGTCATGATGCTAATTAGTTTAATGCACAAAGTAACACTAAGGTTGATTTTATTGGGTTGATCAAAGTTAATGTTTGTGGACATTCTAAAGTTCTATAAAGCATGAAAATTACCAGCATGATAGAAACTATTACAGGAAACCAGGTTTATGACTGTGGTAAGAACCAGCACAGCAACATTTTGGTTCACCCTTATTCTGCTGCATTCCTGGGATTTTGAGGCTGGGAGAAGTTTGAAATTTAGAGGATCATGGTTCTGAATATGGATAATTCTAATGTCTGTTAACCAATAAACTTTTAGTATATAAGCCCCATGATGAAAATCTAAAAGCCGGATTTTATTTCCAGGTCTAAGTTCTTGTGCGATCAGTGGATGTGTGAGAAAGGTTTCCTGGAGAATCCAAGTGAGGTCAAACCCTGGTAAGACAGTAAAGAAATAAACAGCTTCTCCACCTTTAGGATAGGATGTGAAATAGGAGATTAACTTTTATCTGTTGAAGGTGGTGGGACCTGACCATCCACAGCTTACACCTGTCCAACCCTCTGATCATTGCACCATTCCTTTCCTGCCAAGAAGTCATCAAGATGCTGAGAGAGAAGGGCTTCGATCAGGCGCCGGTCCTCGATCATTCTGGGTATGTGCCGTTACTTTGCAAAAGATACACAGAGAGACGTTTGTGGAAATGCATTTTCCATCATGCTTTATCCCAGCCGGGGTCGTGATCCCGGCGATCGACTGGTTGTCAGTCAATCGCCATGTAGAAATACCAATTTTTGAAAAAGTTACCAACTACGGCCTGCCACAACCACAGTCTCCTATTAGGAGACTGTGGTTGTGGCAGGACTTCAGGAGGAACTCAGCCCCAGCTCTCCCCATCACCCTCTATTACTTCCCAGTGTCAAATGTGGAGTCTTTTCTGTTCCTGGGAACAATTATCTCACAGGACATAAAATGGGAGCTGAACATCAGCTGACTGCAGTGTGTCATACAGTCTGCAAAGAGGGTGATCGGCTGCAGTCTTCCTTTCTCAAGGATCTATTCGCCTCATGCGTGCAGGGAAGATTGTGGCTGATTCCACACTCCGCAGCCACAAACTATTTCAGTCACTTTCCTTTGGCAGGAGGCTACGGTCAATCAGGACCAAAACCTCACACCACAAAAACAGTTTCTTCCCATCCGCTACTTATCAACAAGGCCCAGAGACCCCTGAGACACTGACACTACCTCCCCTGTTCATGACCTAGTAGCTACACCAACGTAGCATCTCCAGACCTCCTGCATTACATTAATGCACAGGCTACTGTGTATATAGCTATATATTGCATATAGTATTCGTATGCTTTATATTGTATATAGCTATAGATTCTGTATTCTGTATGTATATATAATTGTATATCTGATTTGTCTGCACCAAGTCAAATTTCTTTTAAGTGCAAACCTACTTGGCAATAAACCTGATTCTGACTCTGAATATCTGCCTGTGATTCTGCAGTGAACTCCTTGGGATGGTGACGCTGGGAACCATCATGTCCAGTGTGCAGGATGGAAAGGCCAAACTGTCAGATCCTGTCAGCACGATGCTCTGCAAGGACTTCAGACAGGTCTGCCTGATGGTGGAGACACTGAATCCACAACAACATAGAAGCCAAACATATTTATTGTCTCTTAACCTTTATGTTTGTTTTCAGGTGCACCTGACAGACAAACTGGGGAAGTTATCCTGCATTCTCAAAACACAAACCTATGCGCTGGTGGTGAACGATCACACCAAGTGTAAGAATATTTTTTTCTTTTTAAGATTAGCTATTTGCTTATTATTTACTTTTAAACCTTCTTCCCAAGATCAGAAGCTAAAACAAAAAAACAATACAATAAAATAGAAAGATGGTTAGAGGTTCTGTATATTGAGATTTCACTCCTCAAAATGCAAGGGGTTTTGTTTCTTCTGAGTAATGCACTTCTTTATTCTTCCAGGATTGTAATTCTCACTTTGCGTTTTTGCATTGTTGTTGGTAACTTTGCTCTTTATGCCATTATTTACTAGAATATAGCCTTAGAAATAAAAAGGCATGTTTGAAAACTGAAATTAACCACTGTCGACCCTAACCCTTATTTTTGTCACAGATTCTATAAAGGACTTTTTTTTAAAATAAAAAACAAAATTGGCCTATCTTTTAACTTTGTCAAAAAAAAGTGTATTTCAGTTAAGCCACTAATAATTTGTTAATTTCCCTTTTTTTTTTGTTGTCCGGATGAAACAGGTGGTTCAGTTCGTCCGATGCAGAAGGTGTTGGGCGTCATAACAACCATTGACCTCCTGAACTTCCTCACCACACAGGAGGACCATCAACACCCATAGTCCTAAAGTTTGCTGTCGGCACAGTAAAACTGAAAATCAATGAGAATAGTTCTGCTTTTAAAGGATTTATTAATAACATCATATTTAAAAAAAACTTGCTTTATTTGATCCTTCTGTTTTGTCTTTCAACATTGCAGCTGTAGGTCAGTATTTTTAAACCATAGTAAAACCTGATTAGTTCAGTATTGTAGTTTGTTGATCCATTTGTAGAAAAAAAAAAAATTAAGATTTGTTCATATTTGAGGTATGATCTTTGTAATGTAGAAATCTTGACTGGTGACAGAGATAACTGATTTAGAGATGAAGTGTATTTATATTAACTCACAATAAGCTGTTCTGCCTGATTCAGTGAGAGACTTGATTAAATCAGATCTTTGAAAATATATGCATAGTAATTAGAGTAAAAACAGACACTTTAAAACTTTTTTTTTATTGTTTACTAACTAAGTTTTTATATTGTGAAGTTCCTACGTTTTAGGGCTGTTTTTATTCTTATAAACCTAGCTGGAAGCAGAGGGATTAATGTCGCCACCTAGTGGGCAAATTGTGGTAGTTAAGTAAAACGATGTTTGACTATATAGTAAAGTTCAGGCTTTCTTTCCTAATTTTGCTTCTATAAACTTTCATTTGAATTAAAAATAGTCAAATAATAAATATTTTGATAGAAGTTGTCTTCATCTCATTAATATCCAAACATTTAACGTTTCAGTCCCCTGTGACATTCTTCTTTTATATGTTGTCTATGGACGGTTCTGTAAAAAAATTAATTTGCACCTTAGCACATGTCTTATTTGGTTGTTTTTTTGTATTTGGAAAAAGTCACGTTTTCCATAATAAACACAATCATAACCACAGTAAA